TGTATGCGTTTTCCTTAGTGGTATAGAAGGTTCATATTAGCATAAATTCTCTGCTTTGAAAGTCTTACTGAGCATTTTGAGTACTGCCTTCCTTCCTAATGATTGAATCTTTCTGTGACCTCTTAACTGGATGTTCGAAGAATACATTTTTGTTGAGTCTCCCAAGCCCTTTCTTTTCTTTTCTATTTTTTTTATATTTTCTTTTTTGTGAATTTTTTATTTGAATTAGAAACAAGCTTGTTTTATATGTCAATCCCAATTCCATCTCCCTCTAGTCCTTCCTTGCCCCTCACTGACCCCCTATCCCATCCCCTTTGTACTCTCCAGGGAAGGTGAGGCCTTCCAGGGGGAATCTTCAAAGTCTGCCATATCATTTGTACCAGGGCCTAGGCCCTCTCCCATGTGTCTAGCCTGAGAGAGTATCCCTCTGTGTGGAATTGGCTCCCAAAGTCCATTCACATACTGGTGATAAATACTGATTCACTATCAGAGGCCTCATAGATTGTTCAGGTCTCCTGATTGACACCCACAATCAGGGTGTGTAGAACAAACAGTCCTATGCTGGTTTCCTAGCTATAAGTCTGGGATCCATGAGCTCTCCCTTGTTCAGGACAGCTGTTCCTGTGGATTTCTCTAGCCTTGCCTTAACCCCTTTGATTATCTCTCCTCCCTCTCTGCAACTGTATTCCAGGAGGTCTCCTCTGTTTTTAGTTGTGGGTATCTGTTATTGCTTCCAACAGCTACTGGATAAAGGTTCTAGGATGGCATATAAGGCAGTCATCAATCTCATCATTGGGGTAAGGCATTTAAGGTATCCTCTCCTCTCCACTATTGCTTAGATTGTTATTAGGGTCATCCTTGTAGAACTCTAGATATTTCCCTAGTGTAAGATTTCACTTTAAACCTATAATGACTCCCTATATTATTGTATCTCTCATCCTGTTCTCCTCTATTCTTCCCATGATTCAATCTTGCTCTCCCTTCCTGTTCTTCCATTCTCTTTCCCCTAATACTCTCTCCCCTAGTCCCATGCTCCCAATTGCCACAGGAGATCTTGTCCATTTCCCCTTCTCTGAGGTACCATGTAGTATCCCAAACCTGGAAGCAATCTAGATGCCCCTCAACTAAAGAATGGATAAAGAAAATATGTTATATTTACACATTGGGGTACTACTCAGCAAAAAACAAAACAAAAACAATGGAATCTTGAAATTTGCAGGCACATGGATAGAACTAGAAGAAACCGTCCTGAGTCAAGTAACCCAGTCACAAAAAGCTGAACATGTTGTTTACTTACTCACGTATGGATTTTATATGTAGAGAAAATAATTACCAGTCTACAATTCACACTGCCAGAGAAGCTAGGAAACAACGAGAACCATAACCCCTTTCTTTTACATCACCTTTCATCCTCAGGAACTTCTGACAACACAGATTCCCTGTTTCATATTGATTTTACAGAGTTGACAATGAGGAACTTAAGAAGAAAAAGACAATAGACCATAAGAAGACACAGCCAACATTCCATTTTACCATAATGATCTTCCTTATGCATGTAAATAGATCATTATCTTTAAAGACTGATAGATATTGACTGAAAACATGAAAACTTTATTTTTGTAAAAAGGATCTTCCAAGTTTACTCAGTGTGCACTTAACCAGGGTGAAGTTCCTAAAGGCAAGTTCACCACACATGGAGAAATGGGGCTCTTTGTACTAGTTTGAATGAAGAAAGCTGGCAGAGGGCTAAATAATGAAACCTGGGAAGAAGGTGGGAAGGATACAACCCTAAAGAGACTCTCAGTGAGCAGGTGTAGCCAACATATCTTCATTGCTCTGACAATACATTTGATACAATCAACCTAAATTATGATGGACAGGGATAGCAGTGATGACTCCATGGTTAAGAATTAATACTGCTCAGGCTGGAGAGATGGCTCAGCCATTAAAGGCTAGGCTCACAACCAAGAATTAATACTGCTCTTCCAGACGTCCTGAGTTCAGTTCTTGCTATCACATTGGTTTGCATGATAACTCAAATCCAAGAAATCAGGCGTTTTCATCTTTGGTAGTCACCTGCATACACACATACAGGAACACAATACATATATTAAATAAAGAAAGAAATAAAATATATTTAATGGATACATTTTGACCTGGGCTTTAAGAGGTTTCAATCTGGGTTCACTTCTGTTCCATTGACATGGTCCTGTGCTGAGGGAAACACCACAATAAAAAGTGCTTGGCTGGAAAGCAGAGTGAGAGTCTGATACAGTGTCGCCTGTCAAAGACTCATTTCCCAGTGACTTGTTTTATTCAAATAGTCTCTAACCTCAGTTCCTACCAATTTCCAATATGCATCAAAATTTGATTTCATGAATGCATTAATCCATTGATTATGCCAAATATCTAATACTCTTATTCCTTTTCAATATCAACCCTCACTGGGAACAAAAATCTATAAAACATGACACTTGGGAGACGTCTTGTATGTAAATTTTATGATAATCGAATTTCAGTGGGTCTTAAAACAATAGAAATACGGACACTGAGAAGTAGAAATAAAAATGGTCCAAATTAAGCCAGTATGGATTTTCAGTGTCATGAGAAAATGAAAAAGCACTAAGATAAAGTGAATTTGAAAGAAGTAGATAGCAAATGTCCTGGACTAATTAAGCGTGTGTGTCAAGAAGCAGGTTTATGACTGAAGGTCAAGGCCTAAAACAGTTAAATGTCAGGTTGCAACCTATAAACAATCGTCAAAAAGGGCAACTTGGGACTTTTGAGAGGTTTTTGTAAGATATTGTTCTAAAGGTGGGTAAAACAATGGATTTTCAGAAGAAGAGAGAAGATGAATAACAATTGGACATGGAGAGCACAGGTGGACAGAACTAATAAATAGAAACAGCTAATCCAAATCAGCCTGGCCATCAGGATAGAGTGAAGAAAATGCAGAAGTTTAAGTAGAGTGAAGGGTTGAGTCGGGAAACTTAAGAACACCACAACGTTTCTAATAGGCAAAATTAGGACATCAGCATGAACTCCTCATGCAGGTCCAGCTCAACTTTATTTCTGATTCTTCGGCTAACTTGTTTTGTAATCTTAAGCAAATGAAATACTGTATCTGTCCTCAGGTTCTGATCTGCTAAATGTGGCCAAGGATTTCATCCCCCCAAACCACCTATTTTTCAAGATTAATTTGAATGATAAAATAAATATGTTTATTGGCACCTAATAATAATTACAGCTAAGACATAATTTATTTTATTTTTTATTATGTAGGAAACAAAATTCAATCTTTTGTGTCAGGAGACATAGGGAAGTCCAAATAATAGAAACACCACTTAATCTATATTGTAGAATATAGATTTAGGGATGAGAGTCATACATTGAAGAGGCAAGGCTGTAAAATTTTCAAAAACCAATGAAGATAACATAAAATGTAGTTCAGAGAAAGGATCTTGTAAGCAAATACATCAAAGATGCATTACTGCAATGACCCATTTGCCTAGCAACACACTCCACACAGGATAAGCTCTCTCAAGAGTTCATGCCTGGATGGATGGATGGATGGATGGATGGATGGATGGATGGATGGATGGATGGATGGGTAGGTGGATGGATAACTGATTAAGTGGAAGAAAATCTCAAAAATATCCAGAGAAACCATTTAGTTTAGAATATCATATTTACTCAGAGATCCTCAGGAATCCTAAGTATACAACTCCTTTCATTACCAAAATAGATTTGAAAAGTCAGGCAACCTTCTCTGAGAGCTGATAAAAAGAAAATTGCATCCAATCTTTCAACCTGTCTTTTGTCTTGTTATTGCCACCTTCACTCTCAGAGAAACTTCTATCCTGAATTCTAACAACAGACAAATGTGCTTAGTTTTCTTACTGTTATTTACTTTTTTGTTGTTTTTTTTTTGAGGCAGGGTTTCTCCGTGGCTTTGGTGCTGTCCTGGAACTAGCTTTTGTAGACCAGCCTGGTCTCAAACTCACAGGTATCTGCCTGCCTCTGCCTCCCAAGTGCTGAGATTAAAGGCGTGCACCACCACGCCCGGCTCTGTTATTAACTTTTGTGTTATAACATTTTGTATAAATTAAGTCTTCAAATATAAACCCATTTGTTTCCATTTTAATTCAGTTGCTCTGTTTTCTACATAGAAGTCATTACCATTTATTTAAAATGACAGAATTTTTATGTTCACTTTTCATTATGTGTCTGTATTAATATGTAGATTGATTTTGATGATGGGAGTATGTATTGGTTTTCATTTGAGGCTGATTAATTACAACTGGGTGAATATTTTAGGAGAGTGTATAGGTAGATATATTCTCATAAATACATACCTATCTAGTTGCTGAGTTATATGTGAGTCATATATTTGGTTGTACACATATTTGGCCTTAGTAGACACCATCTCTGACGCAGAATGATTGATCTAATGGATTATCCCACTGACAGTGCATGGGTATTTTAATTGTATCACTCTATTACCAGTATGGATATATGGGGTTTTTTTGTTAGTTACTTTATATCTCTAAGCATGAATATACAAATTTCCTGTTTATTGACCATAAGATATCTTACTTGAATATTTATTAAAAAGTCATTAACTATAAATTGTCTGATCTTTATTTTCTTAAGTAGTTGAAGAAGTCCTTATGTGTTTTTAAAGCTTAGTAATATTTCTTCTTCCACCTTGGCATGTAATGTGAACACTTTCCTTGTTGTCTTCTGGGACTGGAGAAACATCTCATCTGCTATGAGTACTTCTTGTTCTTCCAGACTCTCTGAATTGATTTCCCAAAACAAAGGTTGGGTGACTCATAGATGCCTGGTACCCTCCCTTTTCCTATATGGAGCCTAAATACATGTGGAACACACACACACAAACATGCACGCACACACACACACACGCACACACACACACGCACAAAAATAAAAAAATCAACAGTGGAAAAATTAGTTGATTTTAATCAATTCCATCTATATCTCTCCTCTGGTAATTGCTTGGTTGATTAAAATTCTTTGTCACCTCTCCAAGTGTTGTCTTGTAATTTTCTTTAAGTCTTTATCTTTTATCCTTTACCTTTAGGACTATAATCTGTGGTTTTCAAGCCCTAGGGTGAGAAACAAGAGAAGAAAAAAAAGTAAAAATTTAGTCCTATATTGGTTCCCCAGCTGTCAACCTGGGGTACATGAGTTCCCACTTGTTCATGTCAGGTGTTTCTGTGGGTTTCCCCAGCATGGACTTGAACCCTTTGCTCATCACTCTTCCCTCTCTAAAACTTGATTTCAGAAGTTTGGTTCAGTGATTGGCTGTGGGTCTATGATTCTGTTTCCATCAGCTACTGGATAAAGGCTCTAAGATGGCATTTAAGGTAGTCATCACTCTCATTATAGGGGACAGGAATTTAAGGTAGCCTCTCCACTATTGTTTAGGGTCCTAGTTGGGGTTGTCCTTGAGGATCTCTGTATAATTCCCTAGTGCCAGTCTTCTCTTTAAACCTATAGTGGCTCCTTCTACTAATGTGTCTCTTTCTTTGCTCTCCTCTATTCCTCTCCCCACTCAATCTTCCTGATCCCTCACGTTCTCCTCCTCCTCCCCTTCTCTCCTCTTCTTTCTCCTCCTTCCCTCCCCAGTCCACCCATACTGCCCATTTCTTTGGGGCTCTTGTTCCTTTCTGCCTCACTTGGGGACCATGTATGTCTCTCTTACGGCCCTCCTTGTTTCCTAGTTTCTCTGGAGGCATGGGTTGTAGGCTGGTAATTCTTTTTACTATGTCTAGAATCCATATAAGAGTGAGTAATACATCATTTGTCTTTCTGTCACTTAGAATGTTTTCTACTAGTTCCACCCATTTGCCTGCAAATTTCAAGATTCCATTGTGTTTTTCTCTCTGAATGGTACACCATTGTGCACATGTACCACATTTTCTGTATCCATTCTTTGGTTGAGGGGCTTCAAGGTTGCTTCCAGATTTTACCTATAACTAATAATGCTGCTATGAACATAGTTGAATAGATGTCCTTGTTGTATGAATGTGCATCCTTTGGATATATGCCTAAGAGTAGAATTGCTGCATCTTTAGGTAGACTGGTTCCCATTTTCTGTAGCAAAGACCATACTGATTTCCAAAGTGGCTGTACAAGTTTACATTCCCAGCAGCAATGAGGGAGTATCACCCTTTCTCTGCATCCTCTCCAGCATAAACTGTCTTTGGTGTTTTTGATTTTAGTCATTCTGGCATTCTCAGAGTTGTTTTGATTTGTACTTCTCTGATGACTAAGCAATATGACCACTTTCTTAAGTGTCTTTTAGCCATTTTAGATTCCCCTAATTTGTTAAGTTCTGTATCCCAATTTTTAGTTCAAGTATTTGGTGTTTTGGTGACTAGCTTCTTGAGTTCTTTGTATAACTTGGAAATAAATCTATAACACTTGGAAATTAGCATCATTTTCTATATGAATGAGGCATATTCATGGCCTTTACGTTTTAATTCATGGACGTAAAATGATGGATACTGCCAACCAGTTTCAAATCTATTCAGAACTTAATATATTTGTTTGTTTGTTTTGTTTTGAACACTTTAGAGCCAATTAAGAGAACCACAATCCCCCCAACACTGTAAGTTCATTCAAACTGTGAACTAGGTAGCAAGCTTTTAGTAATTATGTTGTATGTCTGAGGAATGTGAATATTTTAGAAAGGGCTATGCTTGAGTTCTGTAGTAAAATCTGTAGTTTTCAACAAACTTAGTTTAAAAATTACTGATAGTTGAACTTCTGTTATTTTAATATTCTTGGAATTTGACCTAAATAAAAGCATCACACAAATGATTGCAATTCCTTTTGCCAAATTTGAGGGGGGAAAAGTCTTCCGTTTCTTTTTCTCTTGGGAACACATAGATTTGGTTTTTTTTTGTTTGTTTGTTTGTTTTGTTTTGCTTTTTTCCTCTTGTATGTTTCAGTACAAAGTACTTGTTCTGATAGATCTGGGAAACAACAGTTGGATGTAGTTTTAATGAATCATGTTTGTGCTCTTAGTTGTTTATCAATACAAGTGGGGCAAATTTTTCCATTGAAACAGAGGCTCTGAGTCCAGAAAAAAATCATCAGATTGGACTCTACGAAAGTCTGTAGGGCATATTCTTAATTAATCAGTTGATATGAAAAGTTCAGCCCACAGTCGACACTGCTACCCCTGTGGAAGTAGTCCTGGTATGTGTAAGGAAGCATCTGTAGAGACTAAGCAAGAAAACAACATCCCTGCACATTCTCTTTTTCAGTTATATCTCTGTGTCCCTGTCTCGTGTTGAAGCCCTGACTTCTTTTTGTTATGAACTGCATGGTGGAATAAGTTGTTTACTGCCTGAGTTGTTTTAGGTTATGGCGTTGACCACAGTGATAGAAACTTAACTAAGGCAATGTCCAAGGTCGCATGTCTTCCTGATGTCAGGGTTGTTTCAGTTTTCATTTGCTGAACTTCAGGGCTGATTTAAGCAGCAGTCATTTAATCACCTCAAGTCTCAATTTCCTCTGAGTAAAAAAGAGTTAATAAAGAACCAATTTGTTATTACATATATTGAAAATAATTAAAGAACTTGCCAGTAATTCCCTTAAATAATTATTGCAATCTCAAAAATAGATGAAAAAAAGTCATGTAGGTGTTAGAAACTCTTCGGCTTAAATATGTTGTATTTCTGTGCTATGTTTTCTGCCTTGGGTTATATTTTGTCCTGGATCTAGTAAATTTCACTAATGTTGACATGCTATTAAAGCTTAGTGGAGACTCCTGCTTTAATATAAGGAAAACTCATCTTCTGTTTTCTTTTTTTTTTTTGGTTTATGAGACAAGGTTTCTCTGTATTGTTTTGGAGGCTGTTGGTCCAGTCTTTGGAGGCTGTCGGTCCAGCCTCATCCTCTGTTTTCTAAAGACAGTCTATGCCTATCTAGCCTTTACAGATTTCTCTTGACTTTAGACCCTTCTTCCACAGTGGCTGTACTAAACTTGAACATGTGATTAAAAATACTTATATTTTTTAATATTTCATGTGTCTGTGATACATTAGGTTATCTTTCCTCAAAGTTAAAACGTTAGGGTTAGGGAAATGGATGATTGATAATGTACTAGTGGATAAAAAGAATTATGTGTTTTCATAGAAAGATTTTGCCTCTAGCCTTTCTCCATTTGAATTAATACTGCCACCAAAAGTCACAAATTCTCCAAGCAAAGAAGGTATAGCAATCATCCCTCCTTCTCTCTCTCTCCCTTCCATCTCTCTTTTATGGGCCCTTTCTGTGATATATCCCCATCTAAACTTTCTCAAAAATATTTGTAGGAAGCAATGCTAAAGGAGTGACTATACTAATAATATCTCAAGGATTGTTCTTGCTGACAATTGTGACCTGCTCTGAAAGTCTAGTGGTATGTCACAGCCAGAACACCAACATCGGTATATTAATGCCAGGACTCCTGTGAATATTCAGTTCTTACTTATGTCAGTTCTCTCTCTCTCTCTCTCTCTCTCTCTCTCTCTCTCTCTCTCTCTCTCTCTCTCTCTCTGTGTGTGTGTGTGTGTGTGTGTGTGTGTGTCTGTGTGATTAAATCCTATGAACAGGCACACATAGCCACCATTTTAATAAAGAGAAACTGCTTCAGGATAAACTGTTCCATGCTGCACCTTCATTATGGCTGCTAACGAAAAGCTCACATTTGCCTGCAGGATAAAGGTAAAATTTCTAAGCCTCATACTCAAGACTCTTCAAGAAGAACTTACTTTGGACAGGTGATATTTAACTATTTATTTGGTTGTGATATAACTGAAGGCAGAACGTCTGTGATTTCAAAGATTCATGTGTCAAAGTAAGCACCTGCTAACCCTGCTCTCATGATGTAGGTAAAATTTGAAGTAGTATTTATGAACAAATTTAATATCTCCAGGATTCTTTGTTTCTGTAAAACTGGTATTGTAAAATATCATACAAAGACTTCAAAAATGATGATTTTTCATTACTTATTGTCTTATTACTTCAATTTTAATACTTGCATTGGATAGACAAAATAGTTTCACAATGGAAATCTCCCAAAAAAATTGTTTCAGAACATTACATTGGGCATAATATTATGCTTTCTCAAATATTAATCAAAACCCATTCCATGAAACACCAGCAATATTTTTTACTATGTCATTGTTTTGGATGGGATTATTTTTATACTGTTTCAACTTTACTATAAATGAGAGATGGATCACCAAATCCATCTCAGTTTCGAACTTCCAGTATGTTCCAGGTATTGTTTTAAGATTTAACCACTTAACTCACCATTGTGCCTACATTCTCTGTTATAACTGTGCCTACATTCTCTGTGCCTATAACTCTGTTATAACAGCCATGAAAGATCATCTCTCAATAGTGTCCAGTTTAATATGTTATAAAGAAGAAATCTAATTAAATGCTGAATGGACGGATACATCTGAACTGAGTAATTACATGAACAAAAACAATATATTTAACTAAGTATTATAGTTTGTTTTCTTAAATTCCACTTTTAAAAGTTCATGAATTAGGTAGTTTCTTAAAACACTCTGTTTGGTTTATAATAGAATCTTGAAGTCAGAGGTGAACATTTGCCCACACTTTGGAGAATGTCACCTTTTAGTTTTGTATCAACTGAAAATATTTACTAGTAGATGTTCCTCATTTTAACTTACACTGAATCTAATTGTAGCATAAAAGGAAACATTAAATTACTTTAAAATAGCATATTATCAATTAGCAAACAGAATAGAGTTGGGAGGCTTTTCAAATAAAGCTGTGGGAACTGGGAAGATGGCTGAATATGAAAACCACTTGCAACACATGGATCAGGAGCTGGAATTGAATACCCAGAAGCCTTGTAGATACAGGTGTGTTGCACACAACTGTAATCTAAACACTCCTCTGGGGAGATGAAATGTGGAAAGAGAAAAGTCCTCAGAAACTTGCAGGCCATCTGGCCCAACATACACAGTAGCAAACAATAGATCATAACTCCAAGGGGGAAAGCTAAAGGCAGCACTGGTTTTCCTCTGATCTCTACACAAAGGCTATAGTACATACCCTCATACTTAGTGACAAT